CTGAAATAAAAAAAAAAGAAAAAAAAACAAACATGATTAAAAAATGGGCAAAAGATTGAACAGATATTTCTTCAAAGAAGATATGCAAATGACCAATAAACACGTAGAAAGATGTTCAATGTCACTATTCAATAGGAAAATGCAAATCAAAACCCCAATGAGATATTACTCTCAAACGCATCAGGATGGCAACTATTAAAAACAAAACCAAAAACCAAAAAAAAACCCACAAAAACAAGTGTAGGCAGGCATGTAGAGGAATTAGAAATCTTGTCCACCATTGGTAGAAGCGTAAAATTGTGCAGCTGCTGAGGAAAATAGTTTGGCAGTTCCTCAAAAAGTGAAGCATAAAATTACCATATGACCTAGCAATTCTACTTCTGGGTATATATGCCCCAATAATTAAAAGCAGGGTCCTGTTCATAACAGCACTATTCACAACAGCCAAAAGTTAGAAGTGTCCACTGACAGACAAACAGATCAACAAAATGTGGTATACCCATGCAATGGAATATTACTCAGCCCCCAAAAGGAACGACATTCTGACACACAATACAACACGGATGAACCTTGAAGACATCATGCTAAGTGGAATAAGACATTCCTAAAACTTTGCATTTGTATACTGTATCATTCCACTCATACGAAGTACTCAGAGTTGTCAAATTCATAGAGAGAGGAAGTAGCATGGCAGCCAGGGGCTGGAGGGAGGAGGAGATGGGGAGTTGCTGTTTAAGGGGGACAGAGGTTTACTTGGGGAAGACGAACAGTTCTGTGGGTAGATGGTGGTGATGGTTGCACAACAATACGAATGCACTTAACACAACTGACCTGTACACTTAAAAGGTGTATTTCACCACAGTTTACACACACACACACACACACACACAATTTCCAGTGAGGAAAAGTTCTATAGAGAAAAATAAAGACAAGCCCAGGAGGGAGTGCTGGGGAGCCTGGAACAAACACTTGAGTAGAGGGGAGGTTTCCTCATCCCTCCAGGGCACGTGAGAAGCAGAGTCCAGGAGATGAGGCGTGACCTGGGGTGCTCGGCTTCTTGCAGGCAAACACATGAGAAAGGAGAAGAGGCACATTGGTGAATCCTGGAGCGCTCACACAGGCACAGGGTGGGATGCTGCCAGTGGTGCCCTGGACACTCACAGAACTGTGAGCTAAAGGGTCTTGGTGTTCACAGTGGGATTTATGGCCTCCCCAGTTTGCAAGTATAATAGCCTCTGCACTGTACCTCCTCCCTTAAAATATGCAACCAGCCTTGTCATCTGCTCCTAGCATTGGCATTTAAATCTCCTGCCTGGAAGGGTGGCTATGGGTGCCTGTCCGTCAGGAGGCCCTTGTTAAATGTCCTGACAAATGGAGTCTCATTCTTCAGCTCATAATTTCACATCAAGCCACTGCACAGGTGACACAAATAAGCTCCCCCTTACCCTGGTCTTATCAGTGGCTTTAGGCCATGATGGGGTGAGTGCATGTCTATAAAATACTCAGAGAACCATGTTGCTCAATTCTCCAAGAAATGGTGGCACTGGGATGTTGGAGAATTAAGGGCATATGTATTCTATTAATATATAAATGTAAACAACTCTTTAACACTTGACTATTAGCTTTATTTTAAGGTCTGTTCTAGAAAGAAAATCCTACAAGTCTCCTTAGTAACCTAGAGTTAACCATCACCACTCAATGTAAATTATAATAGATCCCATTCATACCTCCTATTTAATGAGTAAAGCCAAACCAGATTAAAACTATCCTATTTTAAATGCACAATTCTAGGAGAGTAAAATAAAGTATTATCATAGGGCAACAGTCTAAGCTTGCTATTTTGATGTTTAAAGATACGGCTTTCCGACATTCGTTCATGAACACAAACAGAAAATAAACACAGAGTCATTTTACAATTGTTCTTAGCAAAACATGAACTCTGATTATCGATCATAGCATAAACAAACAAGGAGTTCAATATGAGAACCATTTCTTTTATACTCTTAAAATGGAAATATACCATATATACAGGAAAGGGCACACATCTTAGGTACTCAGTTCAATGAATTTTTAGAATAAACGCAATTGAGTCAGCCCTACCCAGATCAAGCTATGAAACATTACCAGCCCCCAGAAACCTCCCCACGCCTCCTGCCCCATTAAAACCCTTCCAAAGGTAACCACTGTTGTCACTGCTGTCACCATCGATTTTTCCTTGTTTTTGAACTTTGTGTAAAAGAAACAATGCACTAAAAAAATAAATAAATAAAATAATGGTAAGGCTTTCTGACATTCGTTCATAAATACAAACAGAAAAGAAACACAGAGTCATTTTACAATTGTTCTTAGCGAAACATGAACTCTGATTATCAATCATAGTATAAACAAATAAAGAGTTCAATATAATGATATCAAATGCAACTTTTGAAAACTACTTACATCCAAAGAATCCTCCTTCAGTAGGATAAGGGCCATGTTCTGTGATACCAATCGGCAGGAATACCCTAAAGTATGGGAAGAGACAACACACACGACTTTATCATTCCTCCTGTGAGCTCAGTTTTCAAGTGTTATTTAAGTTCAACCTCCCTTCTTATAGCTATTGTACCTTATTACCCACTGGTTCATAGAGAGGAACAGGGGTAGGAAGAGAAATGTTAAATTCATTTTGATTCCTGCAGACAGCTTGAATAGAACTGCTTGGGAATGTCTTTATAACTAAAGGTTGAAATAAATAGTTGTTAATTTTCTATGGATTCTTCTTTATCCTTGTTATCCTTTCATAACATTAGGATAAGCCTTAGATTATCTAAAGTAACATCAAACACTTAGGAAGACAAATGGAACCTAATTATGCTCCTAAACCAGCATAAATGTGCCTACTGGAATACCAAGATCCCTCCTTTTCTTGTAAAAATGTCTATTGTACATTGACAGAGTCACTTTTCCTGCCAAAAATTCAAAGTAATGGCCATTTCAAAAATTAAACCTAAGAGGTTTTTTGTTCCTTTTTAAAAGGTTTGTTAGGAACAAAAGTATTCCTAATTCTTATCAATAATTTCTATCTA